TCCCTAATGCACCTTAAAAATGGTGATTTTTGGCTAAACCCACTAAAGAGGCATGTGTAGATGCACTCTCTGTAATGCTACTGAGACCTACATTACATTTATATTCCTGATAGGTCTAGATCTTTACCCCTTGTTTGATTCCTTTCCACTGATGTGGCAGCACAAAGGGTCCATTAATTCATTTAGTGGAGAGAACTAGGGATTCCACTCGCCTGGAGAAATCTTTAAAAGGAATAGTCTTGAAACTTCTCTAACTAGTGCCCCAATATCCTGGTGTGTTCCTGGGGGCTGGACTGGAGGCTCAGGATAAGTTTGCTTCCCTTGCTCTTCTGTGTGGTACAGATGCACCTTGGCTGGTCCCGTGGATGAGGGCAATACTTTCTTAGCTTCCAGATTTATGCCCAAAGGCTCCGTTAACCAAACTATTTTTATTAACTAAAAGTGACTGACAATTTTGCATTTTTCTAACCTGTCAGAATTGGGTCATGGCATCACAACTATTTTAAGTTTGGAAACTTAACACATATTTGACCACTTTTTTTCTGCAGCTCTCCAGTCTGTAAGGAAACAGGGTGAACGTCCTCTTTTTGATGGCCTTTGGTCTGTTCTTCCCATTTGTGCCTCTTGTTCTTCTTCTCATGTATCTACACTACATCTGACAGCCTTTTGTTCTGTCCCAGTTTCATTTTTAGCATCACATAGTTGCATGGGTAGCACTCAAGTTTGAACCGTCTCTCAACTTAACTATCTAATATCAGATTCCTTGTGGTGTCTTTAATCCCTGTCTATTTCCTGTGCAAAACATCCTTAATACCCTGTATTCTGACCAACCGTTAGGGAGTTTTACGGAAAGCATCTTGCTTACAATTAACACTTAATCCTGCAGCCAGCTATGCTAGTTGTGGCACTGATTTTGTGATCCTGTTGCCATCACCTTTTGTTTTTCTTCTCTGGTGTATTCTATCCGAGTTTCGTCCTTTTGCCATAACATTGAGTAGCCTCTTCCTTGATCCAGTCCTTTTATTGGCCTTTGGCTGCACGCTGCCCTGTCATCTAAAAAAATGGTGACACGCATAATCTGTCTGGGTTCTTATAGTAGACCCCTTAGTGTGGTATCTGAATGCTAGAAAAAGAGAATATCATTCCCATCATCAGATTTCTTAGACTGAAACAGTAGCATTTCAATTGTCTCCGGTTTCTTTTATACAGGCTTTTGTATTGCTGTTCTTGGCTTTACATTTTTGGATGTTTTTATTCATTTTTTGTGGTGCTTCCCTTGACCCAAATGAGAACAGACTCTTCTGCCTTAGCATCTTTTTTTACTGTATCAGTTCAGACATGTTGATATCCTTATTTCTTGACTATTCTGTGCAATTGTCCTAATATAATCTCTCGATCTATTAGATCTGCCACTTTCTGAACGGTATCCTCATTACTGTCTCCAAACCACTCCACTACTTTTTAAATGTGTTTTATGCTCACATTTTCTATTCTGATGCTTTCAGTCTTCATCAGACATAGATATTGTACCTACTGTGGTTATATTACTTACTTTTCTGCAAAACCCATGTGCTATCTTGCCCTATGTGTTTCTCCTTAATTCACTCAGCAAGGCCACTGTACAGTGTAAATCTTTTTTTATCGACTAGAAGAGAAGGGTACAGATGTTGATTTCCAATTTATTTTGCTGTCAGCAGCAAATTGTGAGAAGCAGATTGTTCCCCACAGTTTTGGATATATTTTCTTGGTACTTTCTAAGCCTTATCTCTGAGAGAGATTTCTATTTTATTTTCTACTTTTTTTGATTATTACATTTGATTTCTTTATGGTGGATACCATAAAATATACATAAATTTGAACTTGCTAGTGCTATTTGTATGTTTTCATGGTTCCTTTTGCCCTTTTATTGCAGGGCCCCCTCAGTTGCCCATTATTAGCTGAAACACTCCTAACATAACATTATTTTTTTCAGTTCCTTTTTTCCCCTTTTCTGCTGCTTTTGTTGCTTCTCACAAGTAAATTTAGGCTTTAATCACACTTTTCAGCATAAGAATTGTTGTGGAGTCTGTCTCCATATACTTGTCACTCATTAGATCTTAAAGCATTTTTCAAACAAATGTGAGTGTAAAACATAGGGACAGGGATTACTTTTTTTTCTCTTGAACATGTGCTTAAAATTTCCAGGGGTTTGTATCTGAGGATCTAAAATATCAGTTGTTTTCCATACTATGTCCTCTCAATTGGCTGTTTATCAACATACTGATCCTTGGATACTTTTGACTTACATTGTACCTCACTAGGTTACCTCTTCACGTACCTACAAAGTATGTCACCTTGTTAAAATGCTTTTTTTTGTTAGGACACGGTTTCAGTGTTTCAGCATGAATTTCTTCAAAAGCTCCTCCTACACTGTTAAATTTCAGCCATTTCCATCATAGCCTAAAGCTCTTTCAGGGTCATTTAACTTAATCGGCTCCTTAACTCACTTTTCTCATTTACTTTGGATATCTTCACTTCTTTTCTTGACACCAGGATCTACTTCTAAATTGTATCGATCTCATACAAGCCCTTCAATTATTTTACCAGCCTTTGTAAAAATTTCATGTCAGTGAGTATAATAATCTTTAACACAAGAACAACACAGCTGCCTACAGATTTGAGACTCTCTAGTCTCAAAAAAAATCTGAAACCCCTTCTTGTTGCAGGTAGACATTTTCTTGCTTAAGTACAAGAGTTGATCTACAGCTGACATGATACCTTTCTAAGTCAGTAAAATGCCCATTTATGCAGCCAGGTTCAGTTCAGGGTACATTATTAGGAAATGTAAGATACAGCAGTTCAGTCTAAATGAATTGCCAAAAAAATCAGCAGTGTTAACAACAGAACCAAAGGAAGCCTATCCTCTGAGATTATTTTTTTGGTTAACACAATTGCATAAGAATGTGTTGCGTATAGCGTTAATGCAGTGTATTCAGAGTCATAATAAGGCTGCTGCACTTCACAGTATAATCTGGACATACTACTTTGTCAGAAGTTATCCAGATAAAAACCTTATGGCAGCTCCTTTACTTGTTTGCATATCTTCATTTTTTGGGTGTCTAAATATGTCCCTGTCCTAGGTCTATGTTAAAGAAAAATTATTAAAAATTAGGGAAATTATGAAATATCCCCAGCCCCTCATCTTTTCAGAAGTATAAAGATCCACTTCACTGAAAGCATTGCCAAACATGCATCCTGTCCAAAGCTAGAGGAAGGATACACTAGCATGCTCTGATGATCAGCACAGAGACTGCAAACAGGCGAGTAAGTTAGAGTCAAGACTTCCTCTGAAAATGCATTGCCACGTTAAACCTGAATGCTACCTGCTCAAGTAGACGTGATACACTGTACAGAGAGAGGTTATATCTCAGGTAGGCAGGATTCAAACTATTTAGATTAAAATCAACTCTTGGAGTTTTCAGCTACTGCAAGGTGAAGAGAAGATTGTAATTACTACTTGCAAGCGTATGGCTGTATGCTGTGTTCTGTACCAACTAAATTTCCAAAGTGGTCTGCATACATAGCAGCATGTAAGTCCAGTTCAGCATTTCATCCTTGAGTTGATAGTTGTGGGCAACTGTAACAAAGTCCATGTCCAAATAAACTCTTAACCTCCTACCTAAACACAGAGGAAGGACATGTCTTAATTTTTTTTGGTACTTGGAATTGCCATAGCAAGTTGGATGGGGCAACTTTTTCAAAGGAGCAAAAACAACCTTCCATGTACCTCAGTCTGGTCTCAATAGTATCTCAGCCAGCTATTTCTTGTTGCACTATCCAGTGCATTAACATCTTGCAAGTCACTAAACTGACTGGGCCATGTACAATTTAAGAGACAGAGTTTGTTTTTCTGTGTATTTACCCCTTTGTTCTTCTGAATTTAAGCAGGATGATCAGGAGGATATTAGCCCAAGTCTTACAGAGCAGCAATGGGATAAAAAACTTCCTGAACCTTTGTCTTGGAGAAGTGATGAGGAGGATGAGGATAGTGACTTCGGAGAAGAACAAAGGGACTCTTATCTCAAGGTACCGCATTTAAGGCTATCAACAAGAGTGAGGCATGTGTTTAGAGTTAAAATTAAGTAACTCTCAGCTTATCAGTTCAGTTGGGGGAAAATAATAAGACTTCTCTTTCTGATCATTCCCAGCATTAAAGTCAGCAATAGTACTACAATCAGTAAAACCTCCTTTTTTCCCTGAAAAAGACCAGCTCTCTGAGGAAACTTCAGATAATCTGCTGGCAAAGTCTACATAACTTGGGGTGGAATGGCCAGTGTGGTGAAAGCTGCTACAGGCTTTAGTATTCCAAAGTGTCCTAAAGATTGTACTATATTACTAATAACACATGCACCAAAGGTGGGCATACACTGTTAGTGTGTATTTTTCTGATTCGTGGTGTGTTATTCCTTATGTATATTGTGTCTTATGGTGTGTATGTGTGTGTGTACACAAAGTAATTAGTGACCCAAACCATCCCTAAAAATAAGGTTTCTGATTACAAATACCACTGCATACATCCTGGCTAGAAACCTGATTCCATTGTTTATTGGAAAATAAATTATTCATTTTCTTGTTGAGCTAACGGAAGTACAGTTGAGATATTAGTACTTGGAAGCCAGCGCTCATCTGTAAAAGAGTGAAATGTGACTGTGCTATTTATTGCGAAGCATAATGGCCTCTTTAACTGTTTTTTAACCAGTAAAATAATATTACACAGTTAATGGCCCGAGGAGGGTGGGGAATGTGAGTGTGAGTATATGTAGAGGGGTTTTCTTTATGTTAAACATCTGCATTTTCATTTACAGTAATAATGAGCAGTCATATTTCGTGTACTGCCTCCCAGAATTCTTAGTTACTGGCTGTAACCCACCCATGTGTACTATTTTGGTGTTTAGTGGATGTCTGTTCACCTTTTCACTTCTGCCAGCTTCATTCACATGCATTTCCATTGCCTCTACTTAGGTGAGCCAGTCTCAGGAACACCAGCAGTACATCACCTTCCTGCAAAGGCTGTTGGGGCCTTTATTGGAGGCGTACAGCTCTGCTGCTGCCTTTATCCACAACTTTAGCGGCCCTGTATCAGAAAGGGAGTATCTACAAAAGCTCCACAAATACTTAATAAGCAGGACAGAGAAAAATGTTGCGATGTATGGTAAGTCTGACAGCATCTCCCTGAAAAAAACGAGTCATGATTTCATTTGTTGATTTTATTTCTATCATTCCTCATGGCATCAGTGTCCCAAATGTAACCACAAATGTTTTCTCCCCTACCATCTCATAGCTGAGAGTGCTACCTATTGCCTTGTGAAAAATGCTGTGAAAGTCTTCAAGGATATGGGGGTAAGTGTTTTATAGTCAAAACTTGCTACAGCAGAATCCATTCAAAGGTGACCTACTAAAATCCAGACTGACTGCCCAGGAATCCTGTGCAGTGACAGGCTTTACTTCTGTGTTTTCTTGCCTACTTCACACCCCCAAATAAGACATGCATCTTGTTTTTGAAAGGCAGAATGTAGAAAAGAGTTATATCTGACTGTTTGCACTAGAGAAAGTCCTCCAGGAAAAATAGGCTGCAAGCAACACACTTAGTCTTTTTGGCAGGGTCAGTTGTGCTGGGGTGTGTCCCAGCACAGCTAATCCAATTGATGGGCAGTGACCAACATTGCCTGGGGCCATTGTCCTGTAGGATTAGGACCCTGAATCCCCAGAACTTCCTGTCCAGGTGGCTGGGGAGGAAGTATAAACCACACCATAAATGAACAGACATCCGCTGCAAAAAGTGCACAAACAATTACTGTACTAGAAATGTTGGGCATATATGATGCAATAAGGAAAACGGGTGTTAGTTTGGTTTTTGTGCCACCATAAAAAAATATATGCTGGCATGAAAGCAGCATCTGTTTGCAGCCAGCGTGTCCGGGAAGCCTGTCATTGTTGGAGATTCTCATTCTATAGATTTTAGGGCTTCAGGGAAAAGGTAATATTACACTTCCCGCTGCTGAGAAAAATTGAGTAAGTGACAAGAAGTGAGAAACTTTCATGGTGGACTGTGGTGCTGCCATGTCTTGGTCAATGAGATGGTGGGACAGCTAGTAGACCATCCGTGTAGACCTCAAATTTCAAGGGAAAATCATGATAGAATTGGTCTCTTCCATAACTGGTACATGTAGGACATCTGAAATGATCTCTTACACCTTGAATTGTGAACTGCCTGTCTGGATTTTCCACAGCAGCATTTTTGTCTACTGTTGTGCAATCTTACGGACTTCCTGAGTGTAAGATGAAGACCTTTTCCCCCCTATTTTGAAAGTTTCAGAGTTTAGGCAAAAGAATACTAAGTAAGAGTTATTAAACACCTTTCAGGTCTTTGTTCCTGATTTCTTGAGTTTTAAATGAGCTAGTGGAATGAAGGCAAGTTTCTAGAGAGTGTAAAATGCACTTTGGAAAGCTGCTTTTATGAAAGCATTCATCAAACCTAGCATATTGCAGTGCTGTTTGGATAATGGTACTAGGTGACATCTGTTCTTGCATCTGGTTATAGCATTTAATTCAAACACTTGTTTTTAAAAGTAGACAACTGAGTTTGAATTACACATTGCCTTCAATCACATTGTATCCCATAACAGCTGTGAGTACTACTCTGATTATCATACACTGCACGCTTTTCCACAAAGAGTTTCTCATAAACAAGGTGCTTGCAGATGGAGAACAAAACAGTCCTGCCTGCCAAGGTTTTCCTTACAGGAGATGTTGCAGTTTGTTTTTGAATTCCAGTTAAGGTTGGGTATTTCACTGGTCAAATAAAGCTTGGTCAATTGACCAGTCAAATATCAATTAAAAATTGTAAAAAAATGCCAGTAGGTCCAAATAATACATAGAAAAAAGAACAAATTTTCCATTAAGAAGTGTGTCAAAAAACAATAAAAACAAAAACAATAAAACAATAAAAAAAATATTTCTGTCAAGAAAACTACAAAAAAGTAGTGGGTTTTTTTGTAAAATTGCTATAATCTTTGGTCAAAAAATATACAGCCAATTGACCTAGTCAGTTGACAGTATTTGACCGGTCGGTTGATTGGCTTGCCAACCCTAGTTTCAATTGACTAGTGTTAATGCTCCCTTGCTCAGAAAGAATCTTTCAAAAGATGGGTTTTTCCAGACCTTTTTTCCAAATTACAGCTTCTCTCTGTGTCATACTTCCTCTTTCTTCCATGCTATTTTATGCCTCAATGATAAGTGGACTCAGAAGATATCTAGAAGACTGTCAGCTCTTGTGCTAGAAAGAGAGAAAAATACATGTCATTTGCTATAGTGTATGCTTGATTGTAGTGAGCAGCTGTTGTAAGATAGCTCATAAACTTCTCTACATTCTTCATTACAAATAATAAGGGACTTTGCTTGAAGGTGTTCAGTAACATCCATGTCTTCGTCCCTATGCTTTAGGTTTTCAAGGAGACCAGACAAAGGAGGGAGACTATTTTGGAACTGAGCAGTACTTTCCTACCTCAGCACAACCGACAAAAGCTGCTGGAATTCATTCTGAGCTTTGTTGTACTGTAAACCACGTTTGGTATCTTTTGCGAGTGAAGTGGAAACAGGTTTGGAGACTGTTGCAGAGCCTGAGGGCATTCAGAGTGTAAGATGCGACTGGTTTGGTAAGGCCTTATCTGACTTGAATCACTGGAAGACAAGTGCCTTAGACGTATGGATTTCTTACAGTCCCAATCCGGTTATAATTCAGTTACGCACAGATGACACTTTGGATACAAGTGATTAATCATGTTTGCAAAAAAAAAAAAAAGATTAAAGCTAGAAAACTGGAATTTTATCAGTGTTACATTTTGCATAACTACTTTTAAAAACTGACTGTGACAGATGCACAAATTGTGATCTAACCCTGAGAACTTGAGTTTAGTGGAAACGCTGCTTCTGACATCATCAAGTAATCCCCATTTCAGCCCAGTTTATTGTTTAAAGTAAATGGTTTATAAAGATTTGCATAGTCCATGTGTACTCTGTGGGAAAAAGCCATAGTTTTTCATAAATGTTAGAATGTAACATAATGCCAAAATCCTAATGAGAATAACAGGTATGTACACTTGAGAATAATAGTCAGTTGAATAGCAGATGATTGTAAAATTATCTGTTACTGGACACACACTAGCATTATTCAGTCTGCATAGTGCAATAGTAAATTGCACTAATCTCTGTTATCATAATAGAACAGAGTAGTAGCGTTTTTTATCATGGGTTGTTGTTCTAACCTTTGATAGAAATAAGAAAATAATTTTCCTAAAACATGAATGTATTCTAACCATTTAGATTTTGTATTTACTACAAAAAGATAAGAAGACATTGATGTTTTTAGATAATACTGTGACAGATTTTTTTTTGAATTAGAATATTTTAAGAGTGAGAGATGAACTATCAGATTCTTAGTGCATATTACTGGATGGCATTGTATTGTGTGAAGGTATTTTCATTTTGACTGTAAAACATTCAGCAATAACATTGCAGTCTTGCAGAAGTGAATTCTCCAGCCCCTGTTAAATTCCAGAAGAGCATATTCCCATGCTGCCTTTTGCTGCTGAGCAGATTTAGCTTGTGATGCACTGGCAGCCTTTGCTAAAACGCACACATTTTTTGATTGTGACCCAGTTTGGGCTTTGAAATGTTCATTAAGGGGTTCTGTCTTAACACAAGATCACCCTGGTCTTGCAGCCTGCTGTTTGAGCAGAGGTTCATTCACCTTCAGAACCCTGTGGGCATCAGTTTTAACTCTATGCTGGCACATATCAGATTGCAAGCTGTGATCTTGCACTTTCGCTCACTCGATATAAGTTGAAGCAATAAGTCTGTGAGGCACAAAGCCAGTTTGCTTGTGAAATGTGTGTTTCCTCATTTGATTTTTCTGACTCCTGAGAGAAATCAAACATTTCTGCCCCAGTAATGTTTCATGTGATTTTTTTTTCCATCTCATCCTTGCAGGTAAAATAAACACTACAGTTATGAAAATCCATGTTGCTTAATTTAATGTTGGAAAAGAGTACCTGAATGACAGGCTTTTCACAGTCACTGCTATATGCAATTTGAGTCTGCATTCAGAGTAGATTGTATTTAACTGTACATTTATTAACAAAAATATTTCTATGAATTGACTGGTTAAATGTTGTTAACAGTTGAAAGTTGCAGTGTATGGTTTGTTAGCATCATCACTTACCATTGTGAGGCATTGCATGTGTGCTGTCACTAAACCAGGTGCTGTTCAACCTTTAAAAGAAAAGAATCTGAACCAAAGTTGCATCAACACAGGGAAGGAAACTGACCATAAAATTGCTTTTGCTTTTATGTCCTTTACCATCTCCAGCAGGATAGATGGGATTTTTCTAATAAAATTGACCAGCTGTTTAGAGAGCAATTTCATCTTATCCGAGTAATTGTGCATTGTTTCTTAACCAGATGTACTGTCTCCATAGCAATTGTTAAGGTGGCTGATGACTTCCACTTAAAGTCAACTGAGCCTAGGTGCTTGTAAGTCAATAACGTCTCATAGTTTACTGCACTTCAGTAAATTTTGAAGTGTATACAATAACAGTGTGTGTATAAAATAAACTGAAAAATAAAACCCAAGCAATATGAAGCAAATGAAACTAGGTTTTAATGACAATGTTTTGCCTAATTTAGAGATACTAGATAGAAGATCCAGGAGCTAACTTGGAGACCTGAATGTAATTGCTAAATGTTACAACAGAAGACAGTTTCTCTGTTAGACTATGGAAAACTGGCTTATCTAAGGCAGTGAGTGGGTGATGTAATATGCATGTAAATAAATATTAATATTTGTCGTACACCGAGGGAGGGTATGCCTTTAAAACTAGTATGGAATTTTCATTTGAAAACCTCTGTGTGTAGGGAAATTATGTGTAATGAATGACATGCTTGCCTAAGAAGCTTTTCCTTTTTGTGGCAAGTGTGTCTTCTGTATGTATGCATGTGTATGTGCAGATAAGATGTGTGATGGTTACGCTTTTCCCTAAAAGTAAAATATCTTTAAAGACTAGCAGGCTGTAATAATAAAAACACTTTTACACTGGATTTGGCCCTCTACAGTCTCCTTTTACCAATTAATTTTCATATCAATACAAATAACAGGAGGTTGGCCCTGAATGCCACAAATGTATTTTTAACAGTTACTTCTTTAAAAAATATACTCTCACACATCGCCATGCTGTTCTGAGCATACTGGTAGATACTTATGTGCTTAAAGGCTTTGTAGGATCAGGATCTACTGAAGCATGAACAAGATGATAAATCTTTCTGCGTTAGTTCTGTGAATTTTATTTTGCAATAACTGAGATTTAAAACCTCCCTTTTTTCCCTTTTTCAAGAGCCTGTAAATTTGTGGACACGTTTGCGCCTTACCAATAACTGTATTAAACATACAATCCTTCTCCTTGGCAATACGGGACTTAATTCTAATATCTTCAGTTTGAAAGTGCATACACTTGAATTTAACTAACTGCCTTCTCTGTAAAGACATGTCAGAATGATCTTATTTAAAAGAATATTGAGCTTGGAAGTGCTGTTAAATATGACTGCAACTGTGCGTCTGTGCGCTTTGACACTTACTTCCATGAAAATGTTAACACATTTTGTTGCTTGTTCCATGTAATACTGTATCTATTGTTAAGAAGCACAAAGGTGAACTGTAGTTTTATTTTAATAAATTAAACTGTTTTGTGCTAATACAACATTTGACAACTTGTAGATTTTGTTCAGAAATAATGTAGTAAAATAAGTCTTTAAGACTTTCTTCTTCACCAAATATTTTCTATCTTGACAGGTATTATGAAGTAATAGAAAGGAATCTCCTAACAGTTTGGGACTGAGGAGAATTTTTATATCAGTTTATTCTGCCGGCTTATAATTTCCTTGCTGACCATTGCCTTGTTTCTTAAAGAGCAGCTGGCATATTGAGCTAGAAGGACCACTGTCTGATCTGGCATGTCGGCTCCCATGCTTGTGTGTAGACAATAGTATAGGATGGTACAAGAAACCATGAGAGCCCAACAAGAAAAGGTAAACTTCCACTGAACCTCAAGCAATGTCTTTTTTTCTTAGAATGAATCTTCCAACAAGATATGAGCCTTATAACTGGAGATATTAAAAGTGGATGGGTCCAAAGCATGGGGTTCGGTGGGGAGCAAGCAGCAGAAGATAAGGAAGAGGACTAAAAGACCTTAACACAAAATCTGATGAACAAACCTACCTGTACAGTGTCCCATGATTACAACTGTCATGGCCAATTTTTATGGGCCTGACAGCCACTTAGTTATTTCCCTATGGGTTCTGAAAATGTGGGAGTCTAGAAGACAACGTGTTTCCTTTCAGCCCAGTCTATAAATGAGGGTTGAGTTTGGAACCCTCAATGGTGTTTTCTAATATCCAGCCAGTAGTTCATCTCTTCAGTTTTGTTGTTCACCTTTAAGCATGTTAATGCATTGCTACTGTACGGTGCTGAATACAGTCTTCTTGCTGCATAGGGATGGGTGGAATGGCTTAGAACAGGAATAAAACTTTTACTTGAAGTTCAGTCGGAGCACTGTGTACAGTGGGTGCAACCTTTCTTTGGCCCAAGGACAAGTCAGTTGTATCATATGCTACATGTTTTTGTTGCTGCACTGGATTGTGGGATGTGGATTAAAGCAAGAGAACTTACATGGGCTGGCACTGGTGTTAAAGTAGTTGGAGAAGGGATGACGATTGGCTGCTGAGTGGGACTTGGAGATGATGGGACTGGAGATGATGGGACTTTCTCCTGTGCTAGGTGCATGGACTGTTTCAAAAGGCTGTAGAATTAGCTCCACATCCTTTTGGGTTGCTGCTGCATCTGTTGTCACAGTGAATAGTACTGTTCTTGTACCCCTTTTACTGCCTTCCAGTCAAAGGTTGCTCCACCACTCTGCTGTTCCCTTTTGGAGTCCTACACAGTTCTGCCAAATTTTAAGACCCAGGGAGACCCCTGCAGGCTGAGCGGCCTGGATCTGGCCTGCAGGCCAGAGGTTCAAGCACCCCTAAATTAGTGTATTACAAAGCAGCAGCATTTTGCAGATGCTCATTTTGCAGCAAAACAGAGACACAAAGGTGCATGGCCAAGGTTAAGCAGCAGGAAATCTGTGAATTGAACTGAGGTGGCCTTACCCACTGTCCTATGTGGCCTTCTTGTGGCAAAGGAGAGCAGCACAATCTGAAGAGAGAACTCAAATGATTTTGCTAGTTGAGTGTCACCTGTCAAAGAGCGTATCTTAGTATCCATGTAATTGGTCACTTTCTTTGCATTAGTGTTAGGTATGCTGTGGCACTATGGTGACACATCTGGGAGATTTACTTCACATCTGGAGTAGAATAAAAGGGCTGTTATCAGAGCTGTTAGAGAGGCACATCAACTCAATCCAGGTTGTGCATATAGAGACAAATTTCAGTTTCAAGGAAACAGTGCTACCCTGTTCCAAACCCTTCAAGAGTTTTTATACTTCGAAGAGAAGTAGGGAAAATGTGCTCTGATTTATTAACAACTACCGGAAGGACCCGTTCTTTGCCCAGGCCATTATTTTTGTAATTGCAGTGTTTATTTATTTTCAAAGAACTTAGTACAACATATTTAGGTCAAAAATATTGCTTATTCTTAAAGAACATGCGACAATGCGAGGTCATCGTTGGCAGGGCTAACCGGACCTTGTCGTGCATCCACAGGTGCATCTCGAGTAGAGCCAAGGAGGTGATCCTCCCCCTCTA